CCCCAAAACCCCAAAACCCCAAAACCCCAAAACCCCTATTTTGAAGAAGACAGTTGAGAAATAGAAATTAGACTAGGAGGGAAGGTGATTCATATTCGTAGTCGTAATTGTACTCAGTGCAGATAGCTCTTCCTCTTTCTATACATTTATTGGTATCTTCAAGCATGTCGATGAGCATATTTGAGTTAGACTTTTCTTTATCCATAAACATTTGGAGCTTTTTCCCTATTTCCTGACAAATTTCACAGATCTCTCTGATTTTCTTTCTTCTAGGCTCACCTAAAGTACCATCAGGAGATGGAACTTTCTCACAATAATCAATTATTTGATTTGAAAGTCTGAGAGCCATGCCCATTATCTGAAGCAAATGATAAGATTCACTCTTAATTCTGAGTTTTATAAACTTCAGTATTGTCAAAGAAATATCATTGGCATCATCAACATTAGGGAAAGGAATAATCATATCCTTTGATTCTTCGGGCTTTATTCCTTCCATGTTGTTTCTGTCCTTGAACCAATCGTACAAGAATCTTTTCTCAGTGTCAAGTTTTACAGGGCCATTTTCATAGCAAGCTTCAGAATGGACACCCTCAGGACACCCATCAGCTTTTACTCTTTTAGGATCCGATAAGTTCACCCATTCTATCTTTATTTTACTATTTATTGGGTTATCTCTATGAGCTTTACCCGAAGTAAATTCTTCCCTTTGGTCCTCTTCAGTTCCGTTCTGTCCGAGATAGTAAAAATTAAGAGCGTTCTCAATATCTTTAGGGGTAAGGTTCCTTCTTCTCGAATGTTTCATTAGTTTCTTCGCTTCAAAGACCACTTCCTGTGTTTTCTTGATCATGGCATCAAACATCACTTCTCAAACCGGTCCAACTATAAAACCCTTACACCTCCACCCCCACAACCTCTTACTCTCCGGATTATTCTTAAGCCCATTCTCTTCAATAAGCTCCTGCACAAAATGAGTCTTGTCCATATTTTATAATTTACAATCTAAAATGTCTAAATGGGGTTTTGGGGTTTTGGGGTTTTGGGGTTTTGGGG